GAAGAGCTGCCAGCCACCCAGCCTGGCAATACCTGCACACAATGAGAAGCAAGAGGCTCCACATGGCTACTCTCCTAGCCTGGGCATTAGTCTTGGTGAAACAGTGTCTGCAGGGAGGAAAAGTTAACTTTTTGTTGCTTTTCCTTCAACATTTTACAAACACCTGCTGAAGACTCAAGCTCACTGTCACATCTGAAACACATCAGACAGATGCTTCCCTTGGCTTGTAGCAGAAAAATGAGCAGACATATACTGTGAAGACCAACAAGCTGCTGGAAAAGGGACAAAGGAAAATCAGTGCAGAAACCAACCGTTTCCCACTGTGAAAAAGGGAAAGTAAATGAGAACAAGGTATGGACTGGGAAGGAGCATCTCACAGCACTGGAGGCCTCTCAGCTGTGACAGCAGGACATGCACCTCCAGGGCTGGTTAACAGGACACAGAACACTTCCAAGCCCTTTGTTCCCTTCACTCTCCTCGCCCCACATCACACACAACTACTGTCACTAACGTCCAGGAGACTGCACACACCTATGGGCATTCACTCTCCCATTGGACACACCGAGTGCAATCTGGGAGGGAAAACGCTCACAAGAGTGTTCTCCTAACCAACCTGAAAATGAGAACACAGACAAAGGCAGCTCTCACAATCCAACTGTCACACGGAATCTCCTTCTGCGCTGAACATGCTCCTACTTGGTCTCAAGACACAAGCCAGAATGACTTCAGACAGTCCCCACGATCTCCTCTGCATTTCTGTGCTGCCCACCAACCTGACCTGGAGCCCAAACAGGGGATGGTTCTCTGGAGTGGGAGGCAGAAAAGCAATATCCAATTTATACTGAACAAACAGGAAGCCGCTGTAAAAATAAGAAGCCTTGACCTGGGTCTGGCCCCGAGGCCAGGCAGGATCATTGCCTTTTTAGTTTGAAACTGGAGGTGTTCTAATCGCTTGGGGCCCACGAACAGAGCTCATCCGAGCCTAGCTGTGTCCTCACTGGATCTTAGCAGGTTTATACACATATGTGTATGTATTTCTCCAAGGCTCTCACAAGTCCCAACAAATGACAGCTCAGAACACTCTCCTGCAGTGCCACCAGACCAAGCTCCTTATCCCTATGCTAAACCAGGTTCTGACAACATGACAAGTCTATACTCTAAAATCTGAATGCTCTTCATGAACAATGCACAACTAGAGATGATCTGCAGCATCACTGAACCTAAACACAGCACAGGTCACACGGAGCAGGATTCTTTATGTTGTTTCCCTATCCCTGAGTTATCCAGGGGCGTTTTCCTCCCGTTACATTTTTAAGAATGAAAGTACAGGTGGGTCAGTTGCCATAATGAAATTTTGGCATTTACTCCACTATTCAGGAACCAGTGAATCCAGCACATGGCACAGATCTAACTGCAGTTCAGTAGCTCCAAGTGGCAATTGTTCTCCTCTCAGAGTTCAACATGTTATTCTTATGCTTCATATGCTAAACTGTGCAACTGGTAATTGAAATCAGAGTTGCAACATCTATTCTGGGAACATCCACTGTGCCACAGCTGCAGCACAGCAAGAAGGAAAAGGCTTTTGTGTGTGCAGCTCCAGCCACGACACTCACCGGGACGAAAATGCATCAAGGAACAGAATGAAATACATTTACACAACATTAAACTCCCTATAATTACTCACATTGATATTAGTCATCTTCTACCACTGTGACAGATGGAACAAGTGAACCCCCAGTGCAATTCTGGGTCTGAGGAAAGCACAGCTTGTCCTAAGCTCAAAAAGGCAAAGAAACCTGTTCAAAACCTCAGTTGCTTCTGAAAACACTCATGTATGCAGTGTTTGACACCTAAAACGAGGAACCTGCACAGTCATTGGAAGAATTCTTTGAAAGTACCTCCCAGCATTTCTGAGATTTCAAAGTTGGGATTTTTCAATTAAGTAAGACGCAGGTAAAGGTTTGAATCCAAACCATCGGGTGACTGTGGCAGCAGCACAGCTCTGATGGAAGGACACCACTGACAGAGCACCTGGGCTGAGCGTGCTCCTGGGGCCAGGCTCAGCTTCCAGCTATTCACACTTCTTGCCAACCAAGAGCCTTTTACAACACCCTAACATTTGCTTATCATTATCACATCAGAAGACAAAAGCCTTCCCAATATTTTAACTGATAAGCACTGCAACTGCTGCTTTAGGTGCTGTTAAGAACACAGAACAGCCACCCCAGACTGCACCAGGCTGCAGTGGGGAAACCCTTTGTGAGGGACAATCTGAAGTCCTCTGTGAGGAACAGCAGCACAGAGCGTTTTACAGCAAAGGGCAATTAGAAAGGAGCAAGTGAGGATGAACTTGCTATTCCCAGGGTGCTACAGACTGTACATGGAGATGATTTCTAAGACACACAACCCACTTGGCTGCATCATCTGCCCAAACTCCTTGCAAGAGGAAAGCAATAAAGATATATGTGCATATATATGTAAAAATTCCACTTTGCTAATTGCATACCTTTTCAGGAGTGCTGCTTCCATCCCCAAGAACGACTGCTCTTTCCCCAGCCAGTAAAGCTCCCTGTGCCTTGGGGTTTCCTGCACCTTGGTGTTCCCTGTACCTTGGAGCTCCCTGTACTTTGGTGCTCCCTGTACCTTGGAGGTCCTGCACCTTGGAGCTCTCTGTACCTTGGTGTTCCCTGTACCTTAGTGTTTCCTGTACCTTGGTGTTCCCTGTACTGGGACCAGGACTAAAGCTCTTTACAATCAGACCACAGCTCCGACGAACCCAAGGACAAAGCCTGGTTGTTCATGGTGCTGCTGCAGTCAGATGCAGCTTGCTAAAGATTTAAGACACATAAAGACAAACGTGCAGGACTGTAAGTCACTGCACCCCAAACCGACAGACGAACTCTAAGGTCCCTTCCAACTCAACCCCATATGATTCTCTCCCTGCAAACACCACCTGGATAAGGACACACTGTGTGCTTCACTCCTCCTCTGCTGAGCCATGTTCAGGTGTCTTATTGCTGCTAACTGCACATCAATCACCCTGATTCCTGTATCCCAAGGAGGCATTTCGCTGCTCGCCCCTTGGAGGATGCTGAGCATGGGTGACAAGGCACAGCGTGGGATACAATGCAGAGCACCAACTGGTGCCATTTAAAAGGCATTTAGGCTACAGCAAAAAAATCAAGAGGATGCCATAAATCTTTAATTGCAAGGAAAAAACAAGCCCAAGTAATGGTTTTCCAGTTCTTGATAATATTTAAGCAAGAACTCTGCCTACTTCAGGGTTGTAAAATCTGCTTCGCTCACTTGTCTGCACGTACCCTCCACTCCCCTAAAGTGTTCTGCTGCTACGTTCATTGTAGCCAAGATCTGCTAATCATCATCAGCAAACTCTGTTATGCATCTTAAGGACGTACTTTATGCTCTCAAGAGGAAAAATAAACACGTTTTATTAGCTGCTTTTGGAAAATACTGATTTGTATTTATTCAAAAACCTTTTCAAGTTGCACCACTGCTAAATTAAATATTTATGGCATGATTTTCCAAGGAGTTTAACACCTGTTAAGAGTTTAACACGCTGGTTCCACCAGGAGTTCCTGCAAACCTCAGGAGTGACAAGGGCGGAGGTGGCGAAGCAGCTCCAGCATGGATGACACTGCTGAGCCCTGACATGGGCCAGGACCCTGCCCAGCCCCTGCCTCCCACCCAGCTCTGCACTGCTGACCCTGAACCGGACACCAGAAATATCACTCATCAGTACCTGCTAACTGCAAATAAAGCATAAGCTAAACGCTGCGAAATTAATCCTCAGTACACCTCCCCTGTCCTTTCCTAGTGGAAAACTTACATGCTTGGACCGGCAGAAATCATTTCAAGTGGCAGCTCAAAGCCACAGTGAGCCAAGAGCTGGAAAGCAAAGCTGCTGATGTGGAGGGGCCAAAGGAGGGTGAAGCCATGGTGGAGCACAGAACGGTGACAGAGCATGGCACACAGCAAACCCTGAGCCCTGGGGCAGGCGAGGGCAGGCACATGAGGAGGGAGCCTTGCTCTGCTCAGCCTCTGAGGCTTGGGCCTCCTATCCCTCCAGCACTGTTTCTCAGGAACCCCCTGGACCCTGTCCCGCCAGGAGCTGGTGAGTTCTCACACCTCACAGCTGCCTGCCCTGCCCCAGGCCCTTCACACATGCCTGAATCCAAACTACATCATTTTGTACTTCAGAGTTAAACATCAAAGTCTCCTTGTGGTGTTTGGCCTGTAATTCTGAAAGCAAAAAATCCTCAATATCTTTTAGGTAGTAAATAAAATCTAAGTAAGAAACCAGTATACATCAACATGATTCAAATGATGACCCAACATGATTTCATAAACCAGAGAGAGATAAAACAGGTGACTGTTGCAGATTGGACACATCAATCTCCTTAGTCACTTCAGAGCACACCACAAATCTGCCCAGCAAGTGGAGGATTTCACTGATTAAAGCAGGAGCTTTCCTCATGCTGTAAATCATTTGTAAGCACAGAAATTTACTGCAAAGCTTTATGTTTGTGTCATCAATTAACCACAAAAGTTTGGAATAAAGCTAAAATAAAAGCTAATCAAAGCAGCTAGCTGTCAAAACAGATGGGAAGTATACTTTTCGTATCAAGTGAGAATCCAAAGCTTTCGAAGGCTCAGTGCTGCTGACAGAGACAAGAGAAGGGATGGCACATGCCAGAGGTTTGTGGGGTAAAGGTGTCCCTGACTGACCCACACGCACGAATTTCCATTGACTTCTCTTTCCTGGGCCCAGGAGGACCAGCACAGCCTCAGCTCAGCCCCAGCAGCCCTCGGAATTGGGAGCTATAAATAAGGTGTCACCATGACACTGCAGGCAAAATAAATACAAACACAGCCCGACATTATTTTAGCCTCAAACAAATGTTTCAGTCCCTGCGTTGTCTGGCTCAGAAAGAAACATAGACAGTCTCACAGACAGAGATATAAATGCACAATTGCAGTACCTTTTTCCCACACTGTTTACAGGGTTGGCTATATTCCTACTGGCAATAGATTTTCTTCTTGACAGCTTCTTGGTGTTGGTGCTGTCATCAGTGCTGTCATCCTCTTTCTTTGGTGTGTTACTTCCTTTGCTGTTCAGGTCCCTTAGCACATTATAATTAATTTTACTCGAGATTTTCTTCTGTTCTAACATCTTTTCAATGGCCTCTCCTGCTGTGCTGGCTTGAATTGGCTCCCGCTTCTTTGTCGATTTCTTTGGCTTAATTAAAATACAAAATTAGTGCTGCAGAGACAAACAGGGTTCTGTGAAGCAGAGGGTGAGCTGTGCTGCAGCCCTGCTCAGGTGCTGTGCTGGGATGCAGGCACTGCCCCTCATGCCCCCCAGGGGCCCAGGGAAAGGTGAGAGTTGTGCCAGTGCTGGGTACAAACACTTCGCTCAGTACCCGCAGAGCTGCCAGGGAAGGATGGGCATGAGAAAACCCAGGGAGGGAAGTCCTGTCATGGAGATGGGGACCCTGGGAGCACCACCCAGCGTGGAGATAAAGACTTCCCCCTGCTACAAGTGCCTTGAAGGTGAGTGAAGCTGGGCTGGCTCCCCTGGGCACTGACAACTCCTCCTCGACACCATGGAACTGTTTATGGCAAGCCTGGCATGGTGTGGGAAAGCAGCATCCAACTCCTTCTCCACTCTGGAACAGGCCAGGGCTGGGAGTAGCAGCTTTCCGAGCAGGGCCTGGCGTTAGTGCCACCAGCATCACCTGCATCATCACCTGCAGCATCACCTGCCGCAGCCTCTGCCCAGCCCCGCAGGAGGTGCTGCCCAGGGCCAGCCCACAGCCACGTCCCACACCTGGGGAGGTACACAGAGCCCCAGAACCTCTGCCTGGCCCTTCCCTTTGCAAAAGGAGGTGTCAACACCGAGCTCTGCAGCAGAGTCATTTCAACGGGTAACAGCCCCTGTTTGCCTACATGGGTCAAGTGCTACCTTGCCATGGGGAAGCACCACATCAATCAGGTTCTACTCAAGCTGTCAGGAACAAGAGCGAGCCAGAGAGAACTGCTGGGTGTTTGGGCTGCTCAGCCGTGCCAGCCAGGCAGACAGCTCTGGGAATTGCTGGTAGGCTGCCACGTCTGCCTGAGCACACGGTGAGCGAGCACTGGGGCACCAACAGTCTCTCATTGTCTGGCTCTGGTTTTATTGTTGCTGTACCTAAGGGGAGCAGGAAACTCTGCCTTTCGCATTAGCTGGGAAAAAAGATAGAGGATACACACGCTAAAACCAACATGGGTTTTAGCTGCATGTGGAAGATTTGACTTGTCACTTGCTCAGTTACACGAAACACTGATGCTGTAAATGGTGAATGTATGGCCAATTAGGCTGCTTTAAACTGCTAAACACGGAGACAGGACATGCCATTTGTTACCATAACTGTCGCATTCTTTATGAAAGGTAGAACAAAACACTCCTTCAAGTGGCTGCAACAAGGATCTGTTCAGCTCTTCACAAAGAAATCATTATTCTAAGAGCAAAGAAAGCCACCGAATCTATGGCAAGTACAAACAAATTCCCCATGCACACGTTAAAAAAAGTTAGGCATGTCTTAAGACCTGTATTTTAATAAGCAAGCAATTAGAACAGCAATCGTGAATGCAAAGAGCTAGATCTGACTTTTGACATGCACAGAATTTCCTCGTAGCAGCATTTTAAAGTAAAAAGTTTGAGCAAGAGTGTGTTTTATTCACCACCTGAAGAAATCCAGCCTTGTAACTGAGTTATAGCTAGAGACACAGCAGCTTTAGCTTGCTGAGTGGTGAGTGAGCACCATGCCCACACAGTCTGCACAGGACAGATCTCCAGGACATTGCAAACAGACACAATTAACACACAGTTTAATACCTTGTGTTCCTTATAAATCCCAAGTTCTTTCTCTTTTGCTATTCTTGCTTCCTTTTCTGAAAGATGACAAAAGGGTAACCAGCATGAAGAATACGCAGACTGCACATTTCAGCAACACCAGCCAAAAGCAGAACTTCAGCCCTACAGACTTACCTTTCTGTTCCTTCAGATAATCTGCATTTTCTTTCATCCACAGCTCTGCTTTTATCTGAGCTTCTGTTTCGTTAAGGATATACTAAAAGACAAAACAAGTTCATCTACTTTCAGAAATCAACTTGAAAACCATAGAGCACAACTGAACTGAAAAACCACTGGTAAGGACAATTCACATTCTGTCTTTAAAAATGCATTAATAAAAAGAAACCCTGAGTGAGATGTGACAATCAGAGAGCATTTCTAGTAACTTCCACAGCTGGCAAAAGCAATGACCTGTCCTCAAAACCCAGTGCTTGGCTTCCAAACTGTGGTGGGGTGACCAAAACCCACCCAGGACTCACCAAACACAGCCTGTTATTAACCACAAATGGTCCTGGGTATAGGATCTTCTTCAGATGACACCAGAGGTTATCATGATAACATGGTCATCTGCAAGTCATTCTGTGTGCTGGTGGTGCTCTGTACCCCAAACCAGCAAGTGCTCTGCGAGACTGAGACAGAAACATCTGTATCCTGGGGAGGTCTGCGAGGTTATGGCAGAGTTACTGAGATTATTAGCTCAATGGCCACGGCTGTGTGCAGAAACCAGCCCAGACAGGTCGAGCTTTAGTCCTCTACATTTTAGACTTGGGTTCAGTAACCACATCTAGGCTTCTTGCAGCTAACTCCACTCAGTCTTGGTAGCATCACTAGGGGCAATGGAGTTGCAAAACCACATCCAGGACTACTCAGAAGAATTACAGAAATAAATAACTAGATAGGTAGCAATTGCTTAATTGCAAATTACTTAAATGCAAAAATTAACCCAGTATTTAGCACAACTATCAATGGAACAAAAGTTCTCTCGATGCTGTTTGGGAGTGAAGAACTTCTGCAGAACAGAGGAGACAAATTGGCTCATCCTTCATGAACAAGACACTTTAATTTTAAGCAATGGACCCAAGACTTGTAAAATGATGTTTAAGTGCAAGAAAAGCAATCTGAGATTCTCCATCTAATGGGTCTGAGCATTTGAGAGTTTCTCCAGAGTAAAATGTACATCTAAGATTTCATACAGCAAATAGTGCAGTTAAATGAAAGCAGTGCAGGGAGGAGTCAGCCCCTCCTCCCAGGGCAAGCAGCTGGGCAAGTCCTGGTTTATCAGCCCAGTATTTTCACCCTTTCATCTGCTTCTATTAAAAATGGGCCATAACAGTAAAACCCACTTCTTCCTACCTAGCTATTCATCCTGCTTAGGCTTTCAGAGTTCATAATCTTGTGCTTGCAACATTACAGTCTATTGCTGTAGAAATGAACATGAGAGCTGAGGAGGAGATGTGTTTGCTCTTGCCCGGCAATGGTGTGAATGCTGGGCTGGCTGTACTGAGCAGCCCCCCACACCATGCAGGTATCGCCGCCCGCCTGTCCCGCTCGGCCCATCCTGCTGGGGCTGCAGGGAGGTGTTTGCTGCGACACACAACACTCAACCCCATACACCTACACAGGCTGTGCCCTCTGTTTCACACTCTGCTTCCTATGGCAGCCTCCCATGCTGAATGTATCTACACTAAATAATGAATTTAGAGCTCCACCAAACTTTCTGAAGTTCTCCTTTGGAACAGAGGACATTCTAAAACATAATCATTCCAGCATGCTAAGAGCAAGCAGCAGCAGCCTCATAAATACATATATATAAAACTTGTGCAAGGAATATCAAACTCACACATTAGTGTGAACATTAGTTTTCATCTCAGACCACTGAAACCACCCGAACCTCCCTACAGAGAGAATCATAGAACCATCAGTGCTGGAAGAGACCTCTGAGATCATGCAGTCCAACCATTAACCTGTCACGGCTGGAACCCCTAAACCCTAAACCAGATCCTCCAGTGCCACATCAGACATCTCTGAAACACCTCCAGGGCTGGTGACTCCACCACCTCCCTGGGCAATACTCCAGCCCAGAGAGCAGAGGCAGTGGAGGGGAGGACAAACCAGGTGAGAAGCATTTCTCAGACACACAGATGCAGAGCTCCAGGGCTCCAAGGGCACCTTACCCGATCGATTTCGCTGTCGTCGATCCCACTCAGGTCTAACTCGCCATCTCCTGTGTTCTCACCTGCAGACAAGAACACATTGTCATCAGGCACGTTTGTTAGAAATCTGCCACAACTGCAGTTCTACAGTGATGGAACACCTCAGGACTGTCCTTCAGAGCTTTGTGTCCTTCTCCTTCGCCCAGGAGTACTGCTGAGCATTTTCAGTACAGGGGTGCACACACACACACAGACACAGACCAACACAGACAGAGACAGACAGAGACACAGACAGAGACACAGACAGAGACAGAGACAGAGACACAGACACACACACACACAGACACACACACCCCCCACACTGAATTAAAGCTCAGGAATCAGTACAGTTTTCCTCAGTACTCAAAATCTGTCAGAGACTTCCAGTCGCCTCTTTTTCCCCC